AAAATAAAAATTAAAATATGGTGTAACCTCAAGAGAGCATTAAAGGTATTTCTAATCAGGGTCACTTTCAAGAATCTAAAAAAAGGCACTGTCTTGGGAGTATCAAACAGGAACTGGAAAGCTTTGCAACCTAGTTTCTTAGACTATAAAATTAATCTTTGTTAGGCACAAAAAATCTTGACAGATCATTTCTTGAACATTAATTTTTACTTTGCTATAGTGGTGCTATTTAATCTATTAAACAATGCTAGATTATAGGTGCTAATGTAACCACATCTGTTTTTCATTACAAAAAAGAACAGGGTTTTGATGGGATTGTCTAAAGGAACTAAAAGGAATTTATGAATCAGAGATTCTTTATTATGATATTGGCCCAAATGATCTGAGTCATCCCAATCAAGGTACAAATTAACTAATTATTTTAACAGTAAACAAAATCTGCCTTTTCACATACATTTTTGAAAGTATAGGAAAATTTTGTCATATTAGGACTTCCTTGTCTCAAAAAGGATACTGCAAAACTGAAAAGGATACAGGGAAGAACAATGAAAATGATCAAGGGTCTGGAAAAAAATTTCATCTAGAGAGAGATTGAAAAGGCTGGGACTGTTTACCTTAGAAAAGAGATATCATGATAAAAAATAAAATAACAAATGGAATAAGGAATGTAAACTATAAACTTCTATAAATGAAATTGAAAGATTATAAATTCAAAACTGACAAAAGGTAATACTTTCATATGGTCTTGATAACCAATTTTAGTGATTTAGATGTACTCAATGGGACAGAAGGACTATGCTGTTGTCCCACTAAGAGCTCTGACAGACTTTGTGCATCACTGAGGCTGTGTCTAGACTATACCTCTCTGTTGACAGAGATGTAGATTAGGCACGCCAAAATTGCTAATGAAGCAGGGATTTAAATATCCCGTGCTTTATTAGCACAAACATGGCCGCCGTTTTTTTTTTAAATGGAGCTTTTTCAAAAAAACCCTGGCAGTCTAGACATGGATCTGTTGAAAATAAACCCTTTTTTGACAGATCCTGTAAACCTCATATTTTGAGGAATACAGGCAGTCCCCGGGTTACGTACAAGATAGGGACTGTAGGTTTGTTCTTAAGTTGAATCTGTATGTAAGTCGGAACTGGCATCCAGATTCAGCCGCTGCTGAAACTGATCAGTTTCAACAGCGGCT